AGTCTTTAAATAAGTTAAATGGTTGAAATGGGAAGATGAACTGGTAAAAAATTGGCAGAAGTTTCTCAAGATTTCCTGCAGTGCAAGAGGATGAGGGGACAAACTTTGGAGTCGAGAATGACCCAAGTATGTAAAAATACAACACTAGAAAAGCAAAAGCATACGCACTAATTCAATGTGACTATGCAAATTGTTATTTTATGTCCATTGTATAGGCCATGACATAGAGAAAAACTATCAGGAAAAATATATCGTATCCCATGCACTGACTTCCAAGTAGGCTACAAACTTCAATTGCGTCACCTAAAAACCATTATAAGTTTGAATAATTATATCCATGTCTGCAACCTTGATAACTGCTAAGTTCCACATACATTATAGGTTCTCAATCAAATTCAGTTGAAAATCATGATAGCTACAGCGTACAGACCTCCTCTCTTGATCCCAACCATTTACAGGAAAGAGAAAATGAAAAAAGAAAATTGTGTACAATGAAACATATGGTATCCAGCTAAAAGTTTACATAAACTGGGAAAAGGCAGAGTGCAATGAGTTACCTTGTTATGTTCTGCAACAAGCCACGACTCGAATGCTGAAAAGAGGAGAGAAGTGGCAATACCTCCCAAAATACGGCCCAACATCAAAACTTTATATTGGGGAGAATGCTTTGTGATGCAACTYAGTATATAAGTTATACAATACGTCACACAAGCTCTCTTTCGGCCCCTGAATTTACAAGCATGGAAACAATATTAACGTTCTTTTTCCTTTGAAAAAGCATGATGATGTTACAGAGCCCAAAAAGGGAATAATTACTGTTTGTCAGCAAGTGATCCGACAATTGTCCCAAACAACATAGAGGAGCCAAAACCAGCAATAAAAAGCTGTCCAATCTCCCCTTTTCCATAGCCATACTGACTGTAAAGATAGTACACATAAGGGCCCTGCAACCAATCCCCAGCTATTGCCAGAGAAGCATAAAATAAATACGTATCAGAACATTACTGGCCTAGAAGTCCAGATCCAGACATGACGGCATCATCTATAGAAAAGTAGATCTAAAATATGATGAGGAATAGTTTTTTTTTTTAATACTAACATAATAAAATAAATTTCAATGATTTCATGCACATAATTTTCATTCTATACTATGGTATTTGAACTCCACGTAAAATAATGATCAAGATAGATGACCCGTGAGACTGTGAGAAACTAAAGAAGCTAATAATATAGTTCTAGGTGAAGTAACTTCTTACCAAGCACGTTTACAGAGGAAATCAAAACTAACTAGTCATATTTCTAAACGAGTTGATGTCTTAAACAAAAAAAGAGTCAGTGTGCAGAAGGCTTCCTAAGAACTAACTTTCGTCTTTCCTAAGAACATCTATGAAACAAGATAACACCTATTCTCTGGACAAAGGAAATAAAGAGAAATGGTACTGATATTGTACAAGTAATGAATGTGCACACAAAGCATATAACAAAAAAAGGTACGAGCATATCAACCAGCTGTAGTTCTTGTAACAGGAAATAGAAATCCCGATGTTTATAGTACACATTTTATGACTTTCAGCAAAGATTTATATATATATATTTTTTGCAGCTCCGTAGTGTCTAGTAAATAAGTTCAGACATGTAAATCATTGAATATGTTGATAGGACACAGGAATCATCGCTATATCTTTGCTCCATTATCCATCCATCTGTATGCAATATTTGGCAAGGGTTCTTTAAAAAATTTAGTGTTTATTTTGTTGCCAACAGTAAGGGCGAGGACTTTCTGGATACAATGGCAATGGGATGTTTCGTTGGACATGGATATGTAATTAAACGAACAAGCAAATGATTCATTAACATGATATCTTGTGATATTTTTGACATAATAATGTCAAATCCAAATGCCCGTTGCTATGAACAATTTTTTACAATATAATGACTTATCGCAAACTACCGTCCCACTTTCCACATAATTTAGGAGTAAGAGACAACAAACTCGATGTTTATTTCATTGATAATACTAATAAATACAATCCTGCTACTCAAGCCATCTTAACCACATCTAAATTGCTAGACAATAGTAGCATTTTGCCTAAAGCTGCAGAAAACCAGCTATGCAATAGAAAGGAGCAAAAACGTAATCGTTTGGAATTTGGATAATCATTTCGCTTCCAAGATGAGAAAAACACCAACGAAGTGGCCACCAATCTATCTCCATATCAAACCCATTACTAAAACAATTACATTAAAAAAAAAAAACAGGTTCCAACAAAATGGCATACACGATCCATTCATCCAAATGAAAATCTCAAAAAAGCGTAAGAAATTAGATCAGATCCACGACAAATCACAGATACACAAACACGGTGAGAATTAACAAACAAAAAGAACAATGACGACGTCGACTGAGATCCAAAGAGTAAAAACGAGAAAGATTCAGATCTAAAGMGCAAAAGAAACTGGTAGACGTACCCATCATGAGAGAGTAAACAAGAAGGTAATTGTTCTTGAAGGAATTGAAAGCGGTGGTGGTGTTGATTCTGTCCCTGTTGGTTTTGCTCAGCTCGATAACAGCAACTATGGCACTCAGTGCCCCGAAAACGAGATAGTAGAACATCTCCATTGTCGGAGAGAGATCAGAAATTCAGAAGCTTGAGAGCTCGAAATTTGTTCTTCTCTTTATAGCAGCGCAGATTGTAAAACGACGAATGGAGCGCGATGTTTGGAGTGGAAGAAGAAAGCGGCGATTTTCCTCTGCGGCGCGGAACCACGTGAATCTCTACTGTGCTCGTATTTATATGGTCACTAATTCTTTTTTGTTGACTTTCGTTTTAGTTTGACGATCTTATTCGCGAGTGCACGTGGACTGCACCTTACCTGATTATATTTGATTTGCATTTATTAATTTATTATTACTTTTGAAGAAAGATTCGCATTAGTTTGCCTGAACCTGAAGTATGAATTATATTAAATCTAACTTTTATCCACAACTTGTTTTTTTTTTTTCATCATTTTTATTTTAGTCTAGTCTATGCATTTTAAACTTCCAACATGTGTTAAAAATAAGCTCGAGTCTTTGGCTAGAGATAATGCATATATATTTGTAAATGGAGGGGATGCATATTATTGATATTTTATTTATTATTTATTATGTTTTTAATTGGGATTATCTACATTTGTTTTTTCGTACGTGCATAGAGATTGATGATTAAACATCCCACCTCTAAGGAATAAATGAAATGTCTTAACTGTGGAACTAASCTTATGTTGATAGATTATCGATATTTATTGTTATCTTATTGTAAATTTTAAATTGACATTAGACAGTAGCCTCTAGTCCGTAGAACCAAGACAAAGGCAAGCCGCATCGGAGCAATTTTTTGGTTATTTATATGTGTGAATATCCTTGTGGGAAGGAGAAAAAATTGGTTAAACTACAAGTTTAGCCTAACTTTCAATTTTGTGTAATAGGTTTTTGAAATTTAAAAAGTGTTTAATAGGTGTCTGACTCTTTGTGCTTAATAGATTTTATGAATTTTAAAAGTATCTAATAGATCTTGAACTTTAAATTTTGTATGGTTGTTTGTTCACTATCTTCTCAAATATGGATCTTTGATGGTTTTCTCGTAACTCCCTAATGTATTATATGTAACAAGTTTTTTGTTTTTAGTCTAAATTTTTTTGTGTCATTATATCATTGAACTTTCAATTTTATATCTAATTGATCTCTGATATTTTTCAACTTTCAAGTTTGTACCTAATAAATTTGTGCATCTAAAAAATGTTCAATTAGACTAGAGTTCTATTAAACACAAAGCCGAAAATTTAAAGCCCCCGATAATGAAGGATAAATAGGTCAATTTCCCATTCAACCGACAACTTTATGAAAATAAATTAATCATCAACATTCATATAGTTCATTTAAATCACGTACTCAAAAAWGAAAAGAAAATTTTCATTTAAATCATCTTGTCGAGAACCAATTTAAATCACGTTCATTCATTTATTGCAAAGGGATAATATCGTGAGATTATTTATCTAAAAAAAAAGGTCACGAAATTATTTTTCCATTTTTCTCCGAAGCCAATCACAACTAAATATATAATCATTTTGCCAATTTATTTTTATAGTGAAAAATAGCCCTACAACATCGAGATAAAAATAATAACTGTTTTTTGAGCATGAATTTTTAAAATATCTATTTTGAACTTTAAACTGTCATATTTATTTTAATTTATGTGTTGATGTAGATGTGTGCTCAAGCCACATAGGTGGGCTAAATATTGAGTAAGCAGATATTATATGGCAAAATAATAATAATGATTAAAATGATTATTTTTTTGAAAATTTATAGATTAAAATATATTACTTTTTGAAAGTTTAGAGACCAAAAATATATTATTTTTAAAATCTAAAGATTAACGTATATATTTGGAGAGTTTTGGAACAAACCTAAAAATTAAAACAACAAAATGATACTTAAACCATAAATCTTACTTTAGCCATATGGGAGAGTTATATAATTATTTATTTTCAACATTTTAATTTATGTCATATACAAAATGCTATTGTCGTGGGAGTTATGAGAAAAAAAAACAATAATAATAAAAAATTGTTCAACTGAGGAAGACAATTTTCATCTTCAACAGTAGGAAATTTATTTAGTGATCCTCCGAGTTAATTTTTTCTTTTTTCTTTTGTTATATTTGTTTGTCTCTTTCCGGTGTCTTGGTTTTTGTTAATTGATCGTGAGAGTCTCAAATTTAGCCCATCATCTATGATTTGATTACTCACTCAAAAGTTTTGCTTCTCCAAATCTTTGATCTTGAGAGTAGAACAATAGTTTATCAAAAGACCATTCGATTTGCTTTTACGACTCACCGTCACATCACATATTTATTTTCATTTTAACGAAATTAATAAAGGATAAAAGCATAATTAACATAACTGTATTTTCAAAACAATAGTAATCGGTTAAGATTTTAAAAACTTTAGAGACACGATAAAAGCATAATTAAGCCTAAAATAATATAGACCCAAAGTGGCAAAGACGGATTTAGATGGAAGAGAATACAACAGAACAGGTCTTTGTTTGTGGAATATATTTTAAAAATAAAAAGAAAAGAAAAAAGAAAAAAGTGGGAATTGGGAATTTGGAATTTGGAATTTGGAATTTTTACAGTGAACCGATGCTCTTGAGGCCAAGAACGACGCCGACGCCGATGATGTGACCGACGCTGCCACAGGCCAAAGTATCAGCGAGGGTGAAACCCGCTGGGTCACCGGTCTGTAACCCAGAGTCCCTCACCTCCAGCTTCAGCCCCGCCGTCGATTTCCTGTTCGCCGACGGCGCCAATCCGAACCTCCCCGCGAACAGCATCAGGCTCGTAGATATCACCATTATCTGCATCCATCCATCTCCTCATTAAATTACATTTACTATAATAACAAATCCTTTTAATTCTTCTCTTTTCCCAACTTGTCTAAAATTTACCAAAATATTCAATTTTGAGAGATTAAAATAAAGTTAGCACCTAAAAATTATAAGTTGAGAGTGGATTACCAAGTTTGTGGGTGAGCCAATGTAATCACCACAACGGGCACTGAGAGCGCCACCGCCCCTCCGCCTCAGTGGTTGCACCGCCACCTGCAAAATCAACACCATTTCAGTTTTCTCCGATCTCCGAGAATAAGAAGCCGACGGCTGCGGCGGCGATGGCGACGGCGACGGAGACTTACCAGGCTGCGAACCGGAGCCACCGAAACAGTGGGCTTAAGCCCACTAAACTGGGGGATGGAAGTCATCATGGTAGTTGCCATTTTGGTTGCTGCTGCTTGATCACAATTATTTGCAGACCCTTTTTTTTTATGTTTTTTCTTCTTCCACTGAGATTATACAATATATGGATTCAAGAGGCAGACGAGAGATGCTGGAATTTGTGGCCTCAGATTGGTGGATTTGGATACAGTTTTAGATCCTGCCTGCTTACGTGGCTTCCTTTTATTGGATTCTCTCAACGGATAAGGTTTGGATTGGATTGGTGTCTGTGGGCCGGGCATGGCTTCTGGATTCTCAAGCCCACTGTGTTGATTGGGCCAAATGGGCCCTCGAAGCTTTGAAAGTTCCCATTCACACCAAACCCATTTGGCCCAATTAACATCAGTGGCTATTGTCCCATTTTTACTTCTTAAAATTAAAAATATAACATTTTCTTTTTTTGCTAAGCATTCTCTAAGCAACACTTTAGTGCAACAATAGCAAAATTTAGAAAGGGAGAATTTGTAGTAAATTTATTCATTTGCTAAACAGAATATTCCAAAATTTTGAGAGTTTTGAGATAAACAAAACAAGTGAGGATTTTACTTGGTGCTTAATTGAATACTCGAGTCAAATTTAAATTAATTGTTCTCTTATTTTATTTTTTGCTTTATTAAGTTTTACAGTGCAACCCATCTGTAAATTTTTTTTTTAAAAAAAAACCCTAAAGGCTAAATATTTGATTTGAATCAATGATATACTTGTTGACAAATTCTAATAGATTATATGGACATGGCCCTCCCCGTCCCGATGCCTGTCACAGTCCCAGCTCCATACTTATGAATTATGGACAAGAAGGAATAATGATAAATATCATTTCGGCATTGCAAATAACTATCAACATAACAAATGAGAAAAATGACATAATTAATGGAATCTCTGCATAAGCTTGAAACTAAATGCATAATTGTGTGTCAATCTAAACATATCTCAACTAATTAAACATATAATATCGACTACAACATAGGAGGTTCGAATCCCCAACCTATGTCAAGCTTAAAAGAAAAAAAAACATAATATTGCATACTAATAAATAAATATAACTCCAACTCGAGCCTCATCCGTAACATCCATATCCATTAAACGAGCAAGTATATGATATCCAAATACACTTCTTAAAAAAAAAAAAAAAAAGGCCTATTTTTTTCTCCTTTCTTTTCTTTTCTTTTTTTTTTAAAGCAACTTCAGGTCATTCTGAGACAAATATAGAAAATAACACTATAATACTCCAAGACATACCAAAATTTGACAAACCAAGTAGCACAAGTCGACTAGTTCAAGTATGAAGAAACATTTTGAATATTTGATACATGAACTAGTATCTCACTACATCACATCACTTGGTTAGTTAAATTTCGATAAGTTTCTTAGAAATCCTAGAACTATCTCATATATAAACGTGACAGAATGAAGATAACAAGCAGATACTTTAGAACAAAATGGCAGTTACTTACTCGAACAGAAGAGAACTTCTCATGCAGTTCAGCAGTTGAAAGAAAGGCACCTTGATTTGCTTAAGCACCTGCTACAATGGCCGAGGGGCCGCAAGAAAAGACAGGGCCAGGGTTTTCTCACTATGCTTCTGGTCAATCAAAGTAAAAATCCGCATAGTCCGAGAAGTTGCTGCCTCCTGACCATTCATAGTAATCATCATCTTCAGTCAAGAAATCAATGTCAGAGAAACCGGAAGGATAATCTTCATCAAGAGAATCATCATCACCAAAACCATCAGTTTCGACAATAAATTCATAGTCATCCGTGGGATCATGAGGCAAGCGCAAATGTTTAATCCTTTCAGCACATTCTACCCCCAATTGTCCAACCAAATCTAAATTGAAACACTGACGCAAATCAAGGGATTCTAAATCAGGACAACCGTCAAGAATGGCTTGCAAGCCCCTGTCTGTTAGACTGCTTCCAAATATCTGAAGGTAACGTAAATTAGGCATATTTTCAGCAATGGCAATGGCATCCCTATCACAATCAATCATTCCTCTTCTGCAATCCTGACAGTCAAGTTTTAATGATTTCAGAAGACGGCAACACCGTCCAACGGTTTCCAAAGTTTTCTCTGTAAACGAACAGAGAGATATTTCAAGATGTTCCAACAATGGAAGTTTCGAAACTGCTTCAGACAATCCTGTATCCGTGATGCTATGACAACGTACAATCCGGAGTCTTCTAAGTTGATTTGAACTGCAACAAGTTAACATATGGAAACGTCAAAATCAAGGAAATATGAATTCATGATTCACGAAAAATAAAATGCGCACAGGGAAAATTATATTCACATGCAAAACATAAATACATAGACCATCAGAGAAAATTTATCCATAGAAAAGGGTCCCAAAGAATCTTCAGTACCCCATGACTTACGAGAGGCTGCTCTCCATTCTGGGAAATTTGTTTTCTATTAAATAGAAGACAAAGAGAAGAAAATTTTAATGGAATTGCACATGCTCCATTGGGATGCCTCAAATTATCGGTGTCAAGTGCAGAAGTATTTTAATAAAATATTAGACAATTCTGATTAGGGAAATAGCATTTTCAAAGGAAATTTGCAGTAATGACTGGCATTTAGGTTCCCTCTCTTATATCCGAGAGAACTGATTCTTAGCTTCACATCAAACCTGCCACCCACATGAGTGGAACAACAGTTTATGAGGCCTTAGAAAGGCTTGGAAAAAAAAAACTTTTAACCTGAATCTCAAGTGCCATTCCGTAGACTCATGTTAAGTCGCATGTATTTGATCTGAAATTGAGAGTGGAAATAGGACATCTCTGATTTACATTTACATGCATTACAGAAATATAACAGCAAAAGAACAAAAACACGTTTTTATGCAAAGATAGACCAAAAATATTTGAAATTATAAAGACTAAACAAAATAAGTAGAAAAGTCCAATTGCAAAATAAGATTTAAACCGCAAATACAAGATGCAATGGCGAGAATATCGAGAGAGATTCAATTAATGTAGAATTTTCGTTTTGTCTTTACTATCACAGCAACTGCACAAGGTTTCAGGTTGATTGCTCAATAGTTATAACAGAATCAACTTAAAGAAATAATGAAGCTACCGTATCTATGCTTGTATGAAGGGATTGTATCTCGAGAGTATGTACGCGGTTTCATAGTACGAACCGAGAATTTACCGGTGAATAGAACACTAAGAAGGCTCGATGGCGAAAAACAATTCCAATAAAATAGATGAGCAGATAAAAATAAGCGAGTGGAACAAGAACAAGAACAAAAACATACCTCTGAGTGATATATTGGAGCAACTCATTGGTGCCAAAGTACTGAATGTTGATGTCGATCAGTTCGCCACAACTACGGTCAACAGCCTGAATGCACATCTGCTCCAAATCGTAGTCCATGTCCCACTCACCCATGTTGTGCATATCGACGACACGCCACATGAGAGGGTCCTTACAGATCTTACGCCACAAAGAGCAGACGCTCTGCGCGCTCGAGAGGATTTCAATGGCGCCTAGCTTGAGAAGAATCATGGACGTGATGTCTGCAGGCAGTTCAAGCCAGTTCCTCGCTTCGTCTCCGGAGATGGGGTTCGACTCCATGGGAGAAGAAACAATTAAGAGAACACCGTGTCCGTGTTTTTTCTCGGGAAAATTCAGAGGAATTTTGAGATGGAGACGGGGATCATATCCATGACAATTGAATTTACTAGGGTTTGGCTGTCGTCGTTTGTACTCGTGAACTCGGGGAAGGCTCCTCGCGGTCGCGGCTACCGTTTGGCATTGGGGATTTTTTTTTTCGGGTCTTCGGGCCGAAGATTCGGACCGTTGAGATCCATAATCGGACTCGTATTAAATAATATAGAATCTCTGGAATATCCACATTGGTTATCGATATTTTTTAAAGAACAAATAAATTATAACAAATGCCACCTTAATCTAATTCCATTAGTTAATATATGTATTTTCAACTTTATGTACGAATTTTTTGTGTATAAAGTTCTAAAATGTTTTTTTTTAATATCCATAAATATTTAGACCAGCTTATACATACCTCGACTAATCTAATAAGACAACCACCTAGTCTAAAAAATCAATATCGAGAAACATAAAGAAATTACTAATTTCTTAAGTAGTGGCCAATTTTGAACAAAAGTACATATTTTGAAACATCAAAGACTAATTACTCTAAATCTCAATGACAAGAGGTGCTTTTTTTCACAACTTTATAATTGGTATTTAAGTTAAAAATTCATTGAAATAACCACCTAATTCTTATATTTTAAAATTAGTAATAATTTAATCCTTGAATTTTACTATGTAATAATTTAGTCTATATAATTTAAAATTTATAACAATTTAATCTCAATTTGAAAAATCAAATCAAATTAAACATTTAATTTTTGTTATGTAACGATTTAATATTTGAGATGATAATAAATATCTTGTCTACTATCTTATCTATGCTCAAATCGGTAAATATGAGGCATAAAATTTGTTTCAAGCTAATTCAAAACTTATGATCAATTGTATATCAAAAGACCACTTTTAGATAACTTTAAATCAATTTTGAACTTGTTATTTATGGAAAATACATCAAAAGAAATTTTATTTAAAAAATCCAAAAAAGTATTTGCTACATCCACCTGCCAAACTAAATCACCAGGGGAAGGGCAAAAAAAAGAAACACTCTCTTTACCTCATCATTTAGTTCAAATATATAAGATTTGCTAAACAATAATCTTATCCTAAAATAGAATAAGAACTAAACCAAGCGGGAAAAACCATCAAATAGCAAATATGAGTTATAAATCTACAAGAATAAGAAGGAATAGAGAAGCAAAGAACACTAAATACATTTATAAAACAATAGATACAAGATCTGTATGACACTATTGCCACAAGGTTTATGATATCATAAGGTATTCCCTGAAGTGCTTATTACCAGGTGATTTTCTTTGGTATAGTCCTAGAGTGTTGCTGAAACATAAGTGAAATGAACTGAGCAGGAAATGTGTACTTACATGCTAGATATGTTACTCCACAAGACTTGCTAATTTACTGCCTGCAATTGAGTTCAAAAGCCACAAATTGGTTGCAACTTTGGCTGCAGCTGACTTGGCAAGCAACTCGGCATCGGAATGCCTGCAACTGATAATGTTGGTCTTTTCGCTCGGATTTGATTGATCAGGAAGCTCAAGACTGTAAACGATGAAAACTTGGGAGTTGGGTGAAGAACAAGGGATGTTTTGGTTGCTTGAAACTGGTTTTCTAAGGAGAATAGTTCCTCCAGCTGCAGTCACAAGTTGCTGGAGATATCCTTTGTATGAAGGTACGAAATCCGCTGTAAAGAAGAACTTGTAACCAGAAAAAAGTTTTGGTTCCTGCAAATAGAACACAACTGTTAACCGTGCACAATTCTGGAATCGCCTATGTCAATATTTATTTGATACTTCAAACAAAAACTGGTCACAGTTCTGAAATTTTGCTTTGTTGCTAACATTTCATATACACCAGCATGCTTGAAAAAAAAAAAAAAACAAACAAACCAGCATACAGAATGCGATTCACACAACAAGAAATGTGTGAAGACAAGGCATAGGAAATAGAATAAGAGACAAAATTTAAACCCGGAGTAAAGTTCTAAAGATAGGATTGCAAGCTTCATGAAGAGAATATAAGTAATTAGAAACAATTGTCATATGATTCATATTACTTAGCCACTAAATAAACTCAGCACACAAATGCGATTCACTGCATAACTATAAATAAATATATGATATCATTACGCGCAGGCAAAAGGACTAACATTGTTCAGGACTCTCAATCTTCCAAGTTGAGGGCCATCTCTGATTCCATGGACGTCGAGAGTAATCTCAAAGCGCTCTTCCTCTATATGTTCCATGGCTTGTGCACAAGCCTTAATCCCTGCATATCAACAACGAGCAAGAATGTATCACATGTACAATTCGTGTCAGCATATGTTATTACAAATTATTGTTAATATCATGAAAAAGTAAAACTAAAACCTAAAATATCGTGGATAGATAGAGTACATACATTCAATACCCAATACCCATTTTCCCTTCAAAATACCCATCAAAATTTTGAGGGTTCTTTTACATGCCCCGTTTTCATCTGTTGATGCAATAATATGTGTAACGCAATCATCCCATTTTTGTAACACTGTAACTCCAGATAATCTCTGAAATTCCGCAACAGCTTCCTGCAATTCCAACCATCAGGAGACTGAAATTCAGGTTGGGAAGAAAAAAGCACCACATGAACTATACAAAAAATAAAATTGTTACCCTCTCTGCCATGGTGAGAGCTGAACAGCATATAACCAACTTTTTAGATGATTCACGAAACATAAACCTTCCATTATTGCTGATCTCACGCGCAACAGCTATACATTTAGTGTTCGACTGTCTGCAAATGAGAAGGCAACAAACTGAAGCATGTAGAAGACTGTAGTAATTCAAATGCACACCGGCCAAGAGTAATTTCCCAAATCAGCAAATATTGACATACCGCTTTGGAGTGCAGCTGCTTTTCCTTTCTTGATGTCCCGAACCTTGGCTTGGCAGTTTAGAATCCGGATGAAGAGGGCATAACATCACAAAATTTTCCTGTTCAAGCGAACAGAACATCAGATGATGGATATAAAGGAAAGATGTCTGCAAGAGTTTCTGTTCTAAGAACTCAGCCACGTAGCACTTACAGTGTCCCATTGACATTGAGGCATCAACTTTGCACAAGAAACATGAAAGCTCTTCCGACAACTCTTCTCATAACACCCAAGAGCAGCCCCCTTATTTCCACAGCAATTACATTTAATTCTCCGACTTCTACTGAGCTCAGCTTCAAGGTTAATCGCAATGTCGCCATCAAAGTAAACATTGGGTGCCCTGCACATTCAAAATGACGATTTAGATGTTCTGCACCCATACAATAAAGCAACATGGCAATGATTTTCTAGCCCATCCATGCCATGGCCCCATTTGTATAACATGTGAAGTAGTTTAAGAACCCCCTTACATAAAGCGACCTGTAAATTAACCGCAAGAAAATCTGGTGCATTTTTCTCAGGTTAACATGCTCAACATTTCCTTGGTGTGTAAAGAATTTTCAGTATACTTTTGAAATTTAAAAATTGTATTATTATTCATTCAACTGCAGTTTCTATGTAAGTAAACACAGAAATTTGTAATATGGGTTGCAGAGTGTGAAGGGTTCTTTTACCATTCAACACAATTCCAGTGTGCATGTATGACCTTTGAGTTTTTAGTATCATCTGTCTCAATCGGCTTCCCATTGAAGTAGTGGACCATTCTTCCAGAAACCTATTTCAGAGGTTCATGAAAAAGTGGTGTTTAAAGCAATCTAATGCAGAAACAATTCGGGAAATAGACAGGTGAAATTGCAACAATTAGAAACAGATGAAAGTAAATGAATAGGCGTGGTTGATCTACCTCTGACTCTTTTGATGAGAGACAGAAAGCACAATGAAATTTATTGTCCAATCTGTCATGCTTTTGCGAACAAACTCTTTTGGCAGTAGAATCCAGGTTTTTTTCATCGGTACTGTATTGGAGATTTTCAGAGAGCTGACCGCAATTTGCCTGAGCATCGACCTGCTTCTCTTGAATGATGTTATCATAATCACTACTATTTAAGCAAACAGTGGAACTTTTCTCTTGTTTCTCATGTGCCCTTTTATTACCAGTAGATGTAGCAACTGCAGTGGGTAAACAAGGAATAGCACTATCAACGGGCTGATTCTGATTGAGAGATGGTTTCTCAAGCAGTTTGTCGTCCACTGAATCCAGCTTTTGTTTCTTAGACTTCCTGCAGCAGTCGACCACCCGCTGGGCTCTGCAGGCTCCACCATTCTTGGGACTCTTTTCAGGGAATTGATTAATCTTTTCCACATCTGTAAAAGCTGATATCTCGGTTCCAAATTTCTCGAGACCATTATTTGGAGTTCCTAAACTAATGGGATCGGCAGGAACATTTTCAACAACCGCCTTATTTGCTTCAATACCAAAGTGCACTTTCTTGCTGGCTTTGCCATTCTTGCGACTCTTTCCCTGGGATTGACTAACCTTCTCAACTTCTGGAAAAGTTGATGCCTCGGTTCCAAAATTCTCACGTCCACCATTTGGAGTTCCTAAACTAATTGGATCGGCAAGAACATTTTCAGGACTTGCCTTATTTACATCACTACCAAAGTGCGCTTTCTTATTGGCTCTACCACTCTTTCGACTCTTTCCCGTGAATTGCCTAACCTTTTCTACTTCTGGAAAAGCTGATATTTCGGTTCCAAAATTCTCAAGATCACCATTTGGAGTTCCCAAATTAATGGGATCGGCAGGAACATTTTGAAGAGTCCCCTTATTTGCATCAATACCAAAGTTCATTTTTTTCTTGCTTTTGTTACCACTTTTCAAACTACCAAAGCTATCGCTGACCCCGTGCTCCTCCTTTTGACTCAAACATTTGGTCTCCTTAGCTAAATGGGAATGATTCCCAACAGCTGATTCTACAGATTTTTTAGCACACTTCTTCAGTGCAGTTTCGTTCTTCTTCCTACCTCTTTTGGTAAGTTTCGTACTCCCATGCTGACTTTTAGTACCGTTGTTTTCCAGAGGCGGCACATCAGATACCACCACGTCCAGGATACCACCACTTTGATTACAACTTCCATTTGGATTTTGATTGCTAGTTTCTTCATTAGGTGCTGCAGCTAACAATTTTATTTCAGTTCCAGCAATATCTTCATCCTGCATATATTGATGGCATCAATTAAACGTAATGTCTGGGGGGAATTCTGGTAGATGTCTGACTTCAGATGAGAAAATGAAACTTTTTATACCTGCAGTTTAAAGGGACTTGAACAAAGCTCGGGAGAACAGGCTCTCTGGGTCCATTCAAACATTTCACTATCGAAGAGATCCAAGTCATAGGATGTCTTGCCACACACTTCCTCCTACATCAGGAAAACAATATTAATAAACAAGATTAGACTTGAAATTATTTACTATCTTTGTTTCTTTCTCCTTTTCTAATAAAATAAACATCAAGTTCGTAGGCTGCCACCGGCCCACATAAGACATGAACATGAGAAGTTGAACAGGTATATCCTGCAGCCTATATCAAGACTTAATAGTGGTTTTGATGTCCTGCATTTTTAATACTGGTTTTTCTTTTTCTGAAATAAGCTTTCAAATTAGTTGTACAAGAGTTACATTACTTTAAATGCAGCAGACATTGCAACTACATGAAAGTTTTAAGATTGTTTGCATACTTTGTTTTGTACTAGCTTACTAATCACCCACAACGATAAAATACACAAGATGTTTCCAGTAAACTCACCACTGTGGGCTTTGAAGGGCTTTCATCCAGTGAATCCTTGATATCACTGAAGGAAAGACCATTCGTTGTCATTGAGTCAGTAGGTTGATCCACATCAGAATGCTGATTTGACTTTTCATCTTCGTCATCTCCTTCTCTCAACCAAAAGAAAGGTGAAAGAACTGGCTGACCTTTATCCTCCAAATCAATTGCATTTTTTCTTGGTTCTTCATCATTCACCACATTAAGACTACTTACTAACTTTGTAGGTCGGGTTGGTGTTTCTGAAAGGGGACATTGCGGCACCTGAACCCTCTTCTTTCTTGGAAATGAAGGTTTCACAGGGGAAGAATCAGAAATCTTCCGCTTGGATTTTTGTAATTTTTGTGAACCTTTTTTCAAAGTTCTTCGTTTATAAGCTGTGATCTCACCTTTCTCCTCATTAAGCCGTTTTGAACCGTTGCAACCACCTTCGTCTAGTTTGTCCCCATCTTCTGTGAGGAGTAGCAAAGAAAAAGAGCGTGTTTAGAAATTCTGCCAAATTTTAATTTAAAGACAGAGCTAGACCTCACTCTGACTCCACCACATCCTAAATCGATCTAGGTTTTTTTTTTTTTTTTAATTCCTAAATCCATCTAGTTAATGGCTAGAACTTATGGAAAGGTAAAAAACCAACATGTATAAACTTTGGACGGCAAAATAGTGGTTTTTTTCTTAAAATAAAGGTTTCAAAATATTTGTCATAATCCGATTGAAGGAAGATAAATTAAAGAACCTAACACAATCTTGATATCTTCTCTTCACTGTACTAGGAAGAGAAGAAATGAAAACGTCTTCTCTTGATCTCATTGCATAAGTTGCATTACGAGTCATAGAGCTACAGTAACAAAATGAAATTGTTTTTTCCATGTTCATAGACTATGGTCTTACCAGATAATTTAGTAGAAGACAAATTCTGAGTAACAAATATATTAACTCCCGAAGCGACTTCCATGTTTTTGTAAATGCTCACCAAATTATCCATGTGCGGAGCAGGGCGAACTTCTGCAGACAAGATTGTTGACGCCAAGAATAACATTAGTAGACCTAGACATCGCATAATTAGACGGCGACCATACTTTTGATGAATAACACGCGAATTCTCCCTCTTAGAAGTATACTTGTTTATCATGCCATTTTATTATTACCTAATGAATAAGAAAGTCTGAATATGGGAAACAACGATACTTCTTTAATATATATGCATGTGTGTGGAAATATAGATATTGGAAGACAGAATGAGAAGAGTTGCAGTATAGTCGAATGAAAAAAAAAATGTAAAAATTCTGACCGCTTGTTCTAAAGGTCTCTACTAATTGGCAGTTTGAGACATCCAAATGTAGAGAAAATCATACCTCTTCGCCGATAAGGCACCTTACAAACTGGGCAGTTTGAATCCGATTTCATAGATTTCTCTATACATGCACTGAAATTGACAACAAATAAGAGTTTATTAAACCATAGGATTCCTTCGGCTACCGCCTTCACAAACCAATTAAACAGGAACGGAAATCGATTGTGTTGGGAGGCTTACTAGCAGAATACGTGGTTGCATCCCAGTGAAGCGGCAGAGTTCAAAAGACTCAAACTAAAGAGAATTTCCAGCAAAATTCACGATATAAGTAGCGAAAAAAGATGAATGCACATAAATCAGATGAACATACATCAATAACAAACAAATCCATGTGAGCATAAGCGCCATCTTAAGGTGTTAAATTAAACGATTCGACATACTTCTCTTCCGCATTCCATTACAATTTTTGTTAAAAATCAAACACGAATAGAAAAGAGTAGAGAGATACAGAAAATTAAAACATTGAAGAAATTGAGAGGAGGGTTACCAAATTGGGCATTTGAGCTCCCTTCCCATCTTCTCCAGGTGGCTGAGATCCGCCATCGAGAGAAACGATAAATAATAAGATACCTTAGCAAGATGATGCCCAGAGGGAGTGAGCTGAGGAGCAGAGGAAATGGCGGCTATGGACGAAAACGAAGAAGATGAAGAAGAAGAAGAAGAAGAAGGCTCGACAGTGGCGCGATACTGGATCTTCTATATATATGGTCTTTGAATTTTTACGCCAAGCCCACGCGCGCCTGTTTTTTTAAATTTTTTTACTTTTTTCTTCAGACTGTTTCGCGGGTTATGAGAACTTTTATAATTTCCTCTCTCTTATAATCTTATTAATATTTTATATCACTGGCCGCTCGTGACTTGCCACGTGGACGACGTTGCCACGGACGCAGAAATCTTGCGCGAGAAGTTTAGGAGCTCCCGGATTAAATTTTTTGGAAATTTTGCAAAAATTCACCCGTGAATTATGAAATATCAAAATTGTTACCATCAAACTCTTTAATTTTAATAATTTTTTTTTTTAGAAAATAAGAGACTTTTATTAAGGAGTAGTATTCCCCGGCTAGCGAATTAGGGAAACAAAAAACCCAACGTATACTTTCCTCTAATTTGAAAGCCCGACAAGCAAGATAGTGGGCATAGAAACTCTTTAATTTTAATATTAATAAAGTATTTATTTTATTTTCATTTCCAACTAATATTCAAAACAAATTTGTTTAAATTAAATTCATTTTAGACGTCACAACAATTTGAAAGTTGCGCTAGTTAAAATATTTGTCATATTTACAAATATAACGACAACTTTTAGATTTAGAAAATATGATAAAATTTGATCCTTTTTAGATTTTTAAATACATAAATGGTATATCAACATTCATATCGTATATATCATTGGTATATCAGTACTCTAAGTATATTGATATTATTTATTTCTTCAACAATACAAACAAACGTTATATCAATGGTATACCATATAACAACATTTATATAAAGTATACAAGACAGACATTCAAGTTATAAAATACAAGAATTTTGTATAAAAATGTAAATAACACAATACAGATCAACAACAAGAGAAACTGAACACAAAAAGAATAAAATAATAGTAATAATAAATATAAGTAATATATACTTTTTAATATCACGTATATCATGTATATAAGTGGTATATCAAAACTCATAATTAGTTATACCAAATCAGGTATAGATAAGGTACTTCGACTCCAATATCATGTATCTCGAAGACAATATTGGTATATAAGAACTTGTTAAAAGTATATCAAAGCTTGACATACAAAGTATATATATAATGCATATAATTGGTAATATAAGGTCTGTTTAAAAAAAAAAGGTATATAAGATGTATTATTGTTTGGGCTCATTGTTTATTAAGGATATATTGGACTTCTGTTCTGTTCTATTACGTGTGAATTCGGTCTCTATAGTGTGCTCAAAATTGAGAAGTGATGGCTGCTTTTGCAAATTCCTATTAATTTGTTGCTCCAGTTAGAAGCACACATTTTTAAACTATAATTTCAAACTTCCACCATTTAAAAATTTTATTATAAACCATATTGTTTATTGTGACATGAGGAATGTCTTTGATGTTTTGTGAGGTAACGGAACACATCTCAACATAAGACAAGCTTTAATAGTATAATTTGATTTATTACTACAAAAGGAGATTCCGATTAACAAGAGCTTAAAGTCTTTTGATAATTAGTCATATTGACTTAGAGGTCCTAATACCAAAAACCTTTGTTGTATCCGGATCTAGACCTTGGGGCGGACGGGAATGTCCCTGGATATAGAAGTATATATATAATTTGATTTAATGATACAGAAGTTCGAAAAATAAAGAGAATACACAAAAATAAGTAAATAAATAGATATCTATCATGTCATCTTAAAATGTTCTCAACAGCATTGTTTGTGGAAAGTTTCTGGTTCTGGATCCAGCCACCAAACACCCTCACCATTATATATAGTGTCATAAGGATTATTAAAATTAGCCAAAACACAGATTATAAACCTCTAACTCAGCCTTCTATTCTATGTTCAATCATATGAATGTAGAATCATCTTTCACCTTGAAAGAAAAAAATGCAGACATTCATCAATGAGGGTATATGTCAAGGAAACTATTAAGATTACCAATAATCTCTACAAGAGCACGAACTGTCTTTAAAATGATGAAACCTACTACGATCCCTTACGATGATCTCACGTTCGAAAACCTTGGATATGAGTTTGATCGCCAGATGACAATCTGCACAGACTCTCAAATTCTTCATGATTCTAATTGGAGTTCTTTGTGGGGTGTTAACCAACATAAAAGCAATTGCAACTTTCTCCGTGTGATGAGACAGAGCCGTCTCCTTTTCTTCCTCTTCTATATCAGCAAGAACATTAACCGTGCGAGGAACGTAGCCTTCGATTTTCAACAACTCTGTGATCTTCCCCAGCATTGCGTATGTCTCCTCACTTTGGGGATGAGATCTATCACCCATGATAAACTCATAAACACGGTTTTTCAACTCAACGAGGCTATACCCGGGAGTTTTCCTCACTCCTTTCATAAGCATCGTCCTCCTTACGTTTTGCACATCCAGCCAACGTCGCTCCGATGCATAAAGGTTCGAGAGAAGGACATAGTCCCCGCTATGCTTCGGTTCCAAGCGTAGGACTTCAGCTCTTGCAACCTCACCCAATTCTAGATGCCCATGGATTGTGCAAGCTCCCAGTAAGGTCCGCCAAATGACTGCATTGGGCGGGATCGAAATGTTTCGGATATACTCATAGGCATCTCCAACCTTGCCGGCCCTGCACAGCAAATCAACAATACAGCCATGGTGCTCTATCCTTGGCAAGATGCCATATTCATCTTTCATCCTTCTAAAGTAATCGAAGCCTTCCTCAACCATCCCACAATGGCTACAAGCATACAAAACTCCAACAAATGTGATCTCACTAGGCTTCAACCCCTTCCTTTCCAACTCCCCAAACAGCTCAAGAGCTTCATTTCCTAATCCATTAACAGCCAACCCAACAATCAGAGAAGTCCAAGAAACCACACTCCTCTCTTCCATTTCATCAAACACCTTCAGTGCATCTCTAATGTTCCCACATTTGGAGTAGAGATCAAGGAGGGCATTGCTAGCATGTGGATTGTGTACTAAACCAACCTTCAACATATACACATGAACCCTCTCCCCCAAGGCCATGGCCCCAAGCTCAACACAAGCAGATAACAGACTAACCATGGTGAACCCATCAGGCTCCACGCCATCCAAACCCATTTCCCTAAAAAGGGTCAGAGCTTCGTTAGCCATTCCATTAAGAGCAAAGCCATTAATAACAGAGTTCCAGGCCACGAGATCTCTCTCAAGCATAAACTCAAACACCTGGTACGCACTCTCGGCAAACCCAAAAACAGAGTACATATGGACCAACGAATTCTGAACAAAAAGCAACGAACCGAACCCATTTCTAACAACAATCGAGTGAATCTCCTCGCCTACTCTAACATCCATTAACTTAGCAGCAGCCTTCAAAAGAAAAGGGAAAGTATGCGTATCAGGCAGAACCGAAGACGCGTGCATTTGGCAGTACAACTCCACGGCCGGCCTCGGATTCTCGCTCTCGGCAAACCCTCTAATCATGGTGTTCCACGTGAAGATATTGGGGGCTCGAATCAGACGGAAAATTCGGGTCGCGTAGGGCATGGGGGCCGAGAGGGAGACGAGGGCGAAGATGAGGTGCTTGCCCATGTCTGGATTGTGGGGTGGGACGCCATGTCTGATGGAGAAGCCGTGGATTTGCTTGAGCTTGAAGTGGGAGGAGGCGCAGAGTTGTATGAGAGAGATGCATTTTCTGAGAAGGAAAGTGAGGTGATTTTCCGGGAAAGTTGAAGCGACGGAGCGGGCGGTGGAGTAGAAGAATGACGGTTGGTTTGAGCGCATCAGAACAGAACATGCTTGGGAGAGGAGTCAAACCAACCAATATCCTCTAAAACATCATAACTTAACTAACCCACTCAGTCGCTTAGATCTGGGAATTTATAAAATGTTAAAATCAATATTTATGAGGGTTCTGTTTTTAACCTTTATCTTTTCTGATATATGTTGTTGTTGTTTTTTTTTGTTTTATTTACGGTGAATAAGTTACGAGGTTGAAAAGATATGTTAGAAATAGAAAATCTTATGTAAAGTATGGATGACAATAAAATGGGGTATGTTCTTCCCCTTCTCTCGAAAAATTGAAGACCAGTTGTGAGATAAAAGAATAAAAATTTAGAGAAAAATAATAAAGTTAGAGCGAAATACATGTTAGATAGATAAAGAAAAATTAAAAATAGAAAAACATTATAGTGAGAAAAAAATTAGAAAACAAAAAAACTTGAAATATATTTGTTAGATAAAAAAGAAGAGAGAAAGAAAGTTGAAAAAGAAAAAAAAGTCTCACAAAACAACACAACTCAACACATTATACTAACAGAAAAAGTCCAGATAGCGAAAAACTAGAGATATATTTGAAAATAATAATAATAATAATAATATTTTTGAATAACAGAAACATAAAATTAAATTCTTTCTTCAAAAACCAAAAATAAGAAACCAAAAGCAAAAGACTCTAAATTATTGCAGTTCCAATAAGTTTGATTTATTCCAATAATTTTAAACATTTTTATTATAATCCTGATTTATATCTTAAATAACGTGTATAGAAATTAAAAAAAAAATTATATATATACGGACTTACGAGAAAATTGGATGGGTAGGCATTTTAAAAATTGGGTATTGATTTCTAATCACCCTTTAGAAAACATGAGTTTTCTAGACATTATTGAATACCAAATTACTTTTCTACTCCTCTCCTCTCCCTTACTCCCACTCTCTCATTTATCTCCCTCTCTCCTCCTTCCCCTCTGAAAATTTTCTTTTCTCTTCCCCTTTTTCATCTTCTCCCCTCCCTCTCTTTTATGATTTTTTATCCTTATTTCTCTTCTCTCCTCCATTTATTTTTTACGCTATTCTTCCTCTCCCCTTCTCCCTCTTGATTTTTTTTTTAATTTCTTCAACTTCCTCTTTGTGACTCCATTATTGGACCTCAAAATTAAAACAAGACAAAGAAAAACT